TGGTTCTCAATCTGTGGGTCGCGACCTCGGGGGTGGGGGGGTGTGGGGTGGGGGGGGGGTGGGGGAGTGGGGTGGTGGGGGAGGGGGGTGGTGGGGTAGTGGGGTAGTGGGGTAGTGGGGTGGTGGGGTAGTGGGGTAGTGGGGTAGTGGGGTAGTGGGGTAGTAGGGTAGTGGGGTAGTAGGGTAGTGGGGTAGAGACTTGAAAAAACTTCTGACCACCACAGGAGAGCTGTAAAATGTGTAGAGTAAAACAATGGTTGGACGGGACGTGCATGGACGTTATAACTTTTATTTGAGAAACTAGTCGACACATTTTGGCCTTTTACCATACACATCTTTACTATTTTGTTCATGAACAAAAACCTGTTTGGCCCTGCCAGTCTCAACAAGCTGAATTTTAATACACCTACGAACAGCAACTCTCCACATTACATTCAATGACGTAAGAGAAAATTTATTTTAGACTCAAATTTGTCTCCCATACTTCATTAAGGACTATTTTTTTTTTAAATCTTAAAAAAAGGAAGAAGAGTTGGTTTGGGGAGTGGGGAGTGGGGAGTGGGGAGGGGGGTGATCCACTAATTAAAATCCCCTTGTCCAAGCCTTCGCTTTGCCATTCACTCACCTGTGCAAAAATCACCTTTTGTTTTAATTATGTTTGACATGCACTTACCTCCCCCCTTCCCCGTTTTTTTTTCCCGGTCTTATCTCCCTTGAATTTAAATTGAATTTTACCGAGGCTGTACATGCGCAGAGCCCGTGTCTGCCCGGCTATGATGAACTCATCCGGTTTATGTGTCTGCCCGGCTATGATGAACTCATCCATTTATTGCATTAAAACAAACCCATTCAGACAAAGTCTGTGTCAATTATTTAATGAGCCGCAGGAAGCTGTTGGAAGAATGGGAAGAGACAAAATAAAAATGAGGGGGGGAACGTGGTTGGGTGGGTGCGATTACAAGGGAGGAAGGCAGGAGAGGGAAGGTAAGGGGGGCCAATCGAGGGGGGTGGTATGATTGCGGCGGTCGAAAAAAAAAAGGAAAACAAAAACAACACCACCACCAAAACACACACACAGCAAATTTAATTCTGAATTAAATTTTCTGGGGAGTGAAACTATCTGACGAAGCCTGCACTCCAAATGAGGGTGGGCATAAAAAAAAACCACGGTGTTACATTTGCAACGTGATGAGCAGTGTTAAAAATAATAATCATGATAAAATCAATATCGTTATTTGGACATGATGAAGAACAGGAATTATGGATTACATTCAGTGATGAAGAGCCATAATGTCAAAGAACAAAGTTAACAACGATGAAGATATTTGCACTTTCGAACATTAATTTTAAAAAAAAAATAATAATAAAAAAATTAAGAGCGAGATAAGTTTAAACTTAAATAACAGGACGAGTCATGGACGTATCGGCGAAAAGTCTTCCAACCACAACGGTGCTCTACTTTGATTGACAGGAAGTTGCTAAGGATAAAAGCGAATCTTGTCTAAAGACTTCATGGGAAGTATATATACATATTATTAACCGGGATCAGTATCTTACCGGGATCGGGATCCCACCATGACCAGGATTCTATCGGAATCACATCGGGTTCGGGATCCCATCATGATCCTTCCGGGTGCCATCGGAAAACAGGAAATTAAAGACTTCAAGGGAAGTATATATACATATTATTTTAAAGGAGAGGGTATAAATTTGCCCCCCTAAAGCCCCCCCTTCCCCCGCCCCCCCCCCCCCCCCCAAATAACAAATTTTGACATGGCGTCGAGTGTCACTCACCCCCCCTCCCACAGACCTCCACACGCTGGGGGTGGGGGCGCTCTATGAAGCAATGATGGGGCGCAGTATGAAGCAAGGGTGGGGAGCGCTCTATGAAGCAATTGTGGGGAGCGCTCTATGAAGCAATTGTGGGGAGCGCTTTAAGAAGCAATGGCGGGGAGCGCTCCATGAAGCAATTGTGGGGAGCGCTTTAAGAAGCAATGGCGGGGGGCACTCTATGAAGCAATGGCGGGGGGCACTCTATGAAGCAATGGCGGGGGTGCATGCCCCTATTATGCTTCAAATCATAATTAATCTCCGTTGCACCAACTAAAGGTTCATATGCCAGGGCGATGAGCACACGGACATAACGTGTGACACGTCCGGCCGGTACCCTGTGATAACACAGCCTGGGGGGGGGGGTGGGGGGGCGAGTTTTCGGGGGCACTAACGTCACATCGTGGGCCTCACACCCCCCCCCCCCCAGGACCCTCCGCCAGGGTTGTAAATTTTGTGGCAAATGGCTGGGTTTTGCAGTGACGTGTCTTTATTAGGAAGAAGAAAAAAAACATCTACTGCACCCATTGGCTTAAGATTGTGTACGCCAGGAGTGAAATAAGGTGCGGGCCGTACAGAGTGACGTACAGATAGACTTAACATGATGGTCTCTGTGGAAGAGTGTATCTACGGCACCCAATAACCTTGTTAACAACAAGTGTTTTTTGCTTTTTTTAAAGTGTTCTCTTTGCAAGGAGACATTCAAGGAGTGACTATAACATCAAGAAGAGAAAATAGCTTGGACGACCACAGATGTTCCCAAAGTGGTCCATATCGACCCCCCAGGGGGTCGACGACAACTTGCAAGGGGTCCATGTCAGCGAAAAAAAAAAAATCAGTATCAGATGAGCAGGGGGTCTACCCAAACCCGAAAAAAACATGGCAAGTGGTCTTCGAGACAAAAAAGTTTGGGGACCGCTGGATTACCACATTGGAAAGGGGGGGGGGAATGGGTTAGTCGATTTACAATAAGGAAGGACAGAACAAAGGGTGGCTAGATTACCCCTCCCCCCCACGCACACACACACGCACACAGAAAGATTACATCCTAGTTATGCTAATGAATAAGACATGTATTAAAGAATATATTTATAGCATTGATATTACATCATAAACATAACCCTATCTCCACCATACCGAAAACCCACCAACAACCCGAACAATAATCTATCACCGGAATTCCGGAAACTCGCGGGAAAATGACTTTTTTGGTTGTCCCGAACATTACCCGTCTTCTTACGTTTTTTTGCCGGTTTTTTCCCCCCTGTATTCTCCCCACCCTAACACTTACCCTAACCCTAACCCTAACTCCCCACCCTAACACTTACCCTCGCCGTAGTAAAAAGAACTATGAATTTATGATCGAGAAGGAAAACGACTTACTTGTGCCCCGCTGTATATAGCCCTTGTAATCTTCGGCAGTCATAGGAATGGACAGAGGTGGAAGAATCGGGGAAGGCTTCAGCGCGTCTGTCTCCTTTTGCAGGGCGCTAAGTGACGGGGAGCTAGCGAAGAGGGCGCTGGAGTTGAGTAGGCTGGAACTGGAGGTGGTCACCTTGCTGTCGGACGTCCTGAGGCCCGGAGGTAGAGGCATTGATGAGAGGGAGGCTGCGGTCTTTTCCTGGAGGATCTCCAGGGGGTTCCTGGTCAGCGGAGACAGGGCCCCGGGCTCTTTGGAATAGGAGTCCATTAGAGGGGCGTTTGGGGACAGGTATTTCCCGGACATGTCGTAGCCGCCGTGTGTTTCATCTTTTAGTCTAGAAATGTCTCGGAGGATATCAAAGTCTTTCTCTGGTTTACCTGAGTGGGGGGAGCTAGGGGGATCGCCTGTTCTGTGAGATTTCTCAGACGACGTCGGGGACGATTCACGCGACCTGCCCCCGTGAGATGGGGAGCGGGAGGCGCCCCTGTACCTGAATGATGACGGGGCCGTCAGTGTGTCCCTGGCCACCGCCGCGGCCGCCGTGGCGTTCTGGAGGCCGGACATGGCAGCACCCACGGAGGCGAGGCCCTCGCTGGTCATCATGTTGAGATCTATGTCAGCCGGGAGCATGCTGGGGTTGACTCCGCTGGCTATGAGCTGCCGCCTCATCTGTTGTATCATTTGTATCTGAGACAAGGGAATATGCGTCATTCGATTAAGTGTTATAATATAATACATAACTCTTCTAGCAGGGGCGTAATCAAAATTATGGAATTTTGGAGAACAAAAAGTTGGGGGGATGGGAGGGGGGGAAGGACACCAGAAATAATAATTGATCACATGACGGTAAAAATGATTAATTATAATCTTATAATCATGTCATCTAACTCATTTTTTCACAAATAACTTATAGATACTCATTTTAATATTTTATTTGTCTAAAACAACCAATAAATTGCACCCAGAGGCTGAGATAAACAACTACCTAGCGGCCCCCCCCTCCCTTTTCCAACACCATATTATTGTCCTCGATGACCTCTCATTCCCCGTAAAAGGTCCTTTCCCATGGTTCAGTAAGTGGAAGCACGTCCAACATCATCCTCCTCTCCATACATTGAGCTGTGCCGCACACCCAATTAACTCCCACTCTCACCCACTATCAGCTACATCTACTCACCTGCATCATCTGCTGTTGCTGAAGTTGAAACAGCATCGTGCGGAACATGTTGACTTCCTCCGGTACGGACTCACGTCCAACAAGACTGTCGCTGCACTGGGCGACCGCCGCACTCGTTGCCGCCAGGGGTTCCAGCGTCACATTGCTGTTGCCCCCGAATACGCCTCTTTCGGCCGCTTTCAACGCCCATGCTATTGCGGGGTCGGCACCTTTACTCGAACTCCCCGGGGTGGGGCGCTCGCCGCCCTCCGTGCTTTTCCTCCTCTTGAGCTTGGCGCTCGTCTCTTCCGACTGTCTCGGGGCGTCGCCATCGGCCGCCCTCGCTCGACTCCCAGATAGCTTTTCACCCTCATCCGTCATTGGCTTGTCCCTAAAATTGTTTAATGAACTTATCATTTTATTCCTAAGCCCAAGTATAAAGTTCTCCTCAGACCGAATCTGGGATCGATACCTTGTGTTCTCTTCATTCTTGTAATCGTCTTCTTCGTCCCTGGATCTCTTCCTCCCACGCCTGGAGCCCTCGTTGTCATCGGCGTGATCAAAATCGATGCTCTCGTTCCTCGGCCTCTCCTCGTCCTCGGCGCTGTCGAAGTCATCCTTGTCGTCGCGGTCCTCGCCGTCGCTGTAGTCCTTCCCGAGGCTGCCGTCGAGGCTGCTCCTGCTGAAGTCGTAGCCGTTCTGCAGGTAGCCGTTGACCGGCGGGTCGTACGGCATCAAGATGCGGCCGCGGGCGCCGCAGAGTTTTTTGTGGGCGAGGTACTGGGCGATCTCAGTGAAGCAGATGCCGCATTTGTCGCAGGCGCTGATGGTGTCTGCACCTTCAGGGGAGGGAACGTCGCCAGAGGGGCAGAACTCTTCTAGGGGAAAAAAATAATAAAGAACATAGTCAATAAAGTAGGAACACGGTGATGGAACATGGTGGAGGAACATGGTGAAGGAATATGGTGAATGAACATGGTGGAGGAACATGGAAGAACATGGTGAAGGAACACGGTGGAGGAACATGGTGGAGGAACATGCTGAAGTAAATAGTAGGACAAAGGTATGTGGAAGCTTGAATCAAAAGACAGGATAAGATATGAACGTTTCGGCCAAGAGCCTTCCTCGGCAGACAGGACAAATGAAAATATGACAAGAAATAGACACTAGTTTAAAAAACGTCAGTGATACAACATAGTCATGCTTTAAACAGTTTATCAGATAGGACGTAGGCCTCTATTCTGTTTAAATACCTTACATTAATATTGCGGTCCCTTAAAATGGTTTTGTAAGAAAATTACCCCCCCCCCCAAAAAAAAAAATCATTTTAAAAATAGCTATCTATTGTTTTGAAATGTCACCGTGTACAGGGTTAGTTAAATCTCAAAGGTGAGACTAACACGACGTGTTAGGGTGAAGAGGGGTGTGTGTGTGTGGGGGGTGGGGGGGAGTGAATGAATGAATTCAATCAATTAACTCTCCCTTTGTTACATTTGCATTCAAGAAGTCGATTAAGTTCGATATATTATGGTGATCGACATCTGTAATCTTCACTGCAATCGACATCTGTAATCTTCACTGCAATCGACATCTGTAATCTTCACTGCAATCGACATCTGTACTCTTCACTGCAATCGACATCTGTAATCTTCACTGCAATCGACATCTGTAATCTTCACTGCAATCCTCTCGTACCGTTTTGTTACAGCAGCCGCACGGCTCTGCTTGGTGTATTATACAATCATCCGATGCAGTGAGACTTCACTATTTGGTGTATTATACAATCATCCGATGCAGTGAGACTTCACTACTTGGTGTATTATACAATCATCCGATGCAGTGAGACTTCACTACTTGGTGTATTATACAATCATCCGATGCAGTGAGACTTCACTACTTGGTGTATTATACAATCATCCGATGCAGTGAGACTTCACTACTTGGTGTATTAAACAATCATCCGATGCAATCAGACATCACGACTAGGTGTATTAAACAATCATCCGATGCAGTGAGACATCACGACATCCCTACTCGGGTATGCATGACATTCCCTCTGGCCGTCCGATGACTTGTGAACAATCACTAGAGCATCAATGAATAATTAAAGGGACACAATAACTGGACAGTCACTATGATAAAATGGACTGCGTAGTGCCCCCTGCTTTCCCCAACACACACACACATACACACCCTCCCCCGCCCAACTCACTTTTTCCCCCTTCTCCTTTTCAATATGACAATCGGGAAATAATTGGATGTCTGGAGTATTAAATAATAAATGCTCTTCGTTCTGTTAACTACGTTTTCGAATGAGAATTTGGCAGTAAACGGTTGTGGCGGCCAGAACGTTCTATATACAGTAGCCCCCCCCCCCTTTTTTTTTTTTTGGTCTTTTTTTTCGTATCACCGCCAATTTATAACAACTGATCAGCATGTATTTTATTTGCTTAGTTTTATCAGTAGAGAATCTTACTTGTCGCGATTTTAATAAATATCACTAATGCTAGATCTATATACGACAGATAGATCCGTTTCAAAATCAAGCGATTACTCTTCGATGGAGGCTATTTTCATTAAAGATGGCGAGACTTCCGGTTAGCAACAAATCGATAGATGCTTGATTAAAAAATAGATGTGTTACTATGATTATGAAACAATTGATGCGCGCCACACACGTCATATTTAACGAAAGCCCGGTCAGAGTCAAGGCACTGTTCACGAGACACACCCGAAGGACTCGAGACTCACCCGAGGGCAATATACGTGCCTCGGTTATGTGGTCGCTTTCATCTTGTTACGTTCACCCACTGAGATGTGATCATTGATTACAGTAACCCCCCGATGGCGTCCCTGCCCTCCCCACCCCCCCCCACACCCCACCCTCCGATTGCCTTAACTCGCCAAAAACATTCGTCCTCGCAGGTGATCATGTGCTAATCTGAACAATGATTGATGAATGCTTTAATCAGGATTGAACAGTTCACGAGGAGGCGCCGAGTGCTTGAAAGTGAGAGAATGGACCTTGTGGCGTTGGATGCCAAGACTTTATCGTGGATTGGGGGAGCCATGGTTGGATTTATGAGGAGATACAGGGCGACTGACTGGCGGAAGTAGAGAGAATGGTCAAGATCGGGCATTTATGGATATCTTATTTAGATATAAAACGAAATATACAGACGTCAATGTTGGATGTTTTGCAAAGCATTTTTTTTTTTTGGACTTCAAAAATAGAACGAGAATTATGACACGATCATTGGAGTGGAAGACTCGTGATAGAAAATAGGGTCGAGGGCGGCATGATCTTAAAATGGTCTCTGGAAACAGGGAATGTTTTGATACAGAGGATTTTGAATCTCAAAAACGACGGGTGGGAATAGAAAATACACGACTAAATGTTTTCCCGTTCTTAGATTACCATCACCAAATATGTAGAGGCACGGAGGCAACATTCTGACATCAAAGCGCAGCTTTGTTATAAGAAATCAAAAAAAAAAAATTAAAATCTAATAAGATACATTTTATATGGTGGTATTAAGGAGAGCCCACTCACAAAAAGAGCAGCACTCATAAAAAGTACACACTCATCAAAAGTACACAATCCTAAAAAGTACACTCATCAAAAGTACACACTCATCAAAAGTACACACTCCTAAAAAGAACACTCATATTAAGCGTAAAACGGGCATGTGCGTTTTGTTCCAAGGTTCTGAGTATGTTTGCCCGACGTGGTCAAAGTGTATTGACACAGCGATAACGGGCCGCCTGGTACTGACAAAACTCAGCTACGGCAGTCCTGCACGGAACCGGCCATCGAGTAACCAGCACAGTTGCTTTAAGGTAGCGTTCAATATATCAAAATTAATTTGACATCTGACGAGTGGGGCCGGCGGGCCCGTTGAGGGCCCGCGCCCGTCCTCTTGAAGCCAGTCTCCCTCATGACAGGCCCTCATGCAACTTTGATGGCGCTACACATCAGAAGAAGTCTTAATCAAGGCTCTACCCACACCCCCCCCCCCCCCCCCCCCCCCCCCCCCCCCC